CCACCTATCTATCCGTCCATATACCCCTGTTTGTCTTCACTGACAACTCAGTACTATATATGCAAAAGGGTTCATATTTGTTGTCTGTACTGCCCATGTACCTCTCTATGTCTTTCTCATCCTCAGTGGTGCCATATTGGTCACTCCCATTTGGTACATTGCCTTTCTCTTCACCCAAATCAGTATTTATCACTATCTAACTAACAGTGTTCCCTCCCCTCCCCTCCCACCCCTGGTAACCAACAAAGAAAATTTCCTCCAATAGATAAACCTTTCCAATAATGGACTTACACAATATTTGTCCTTTTGTGACTCACTTATTTCACTTAGCATAATGTCCTCCAAGTTCATCCACGTTATGCAGTGTTTTGCAGATTCTACATTATTCTTTATTTAATGCCTTTTTTAAAACTGCATGTGGAAAAGCAGTTCTGTTGTTAGGTAGACAGTACAGTAAAGCTTAGTGTCAGAGCTTGAGTTCTGCGTTCCTTGTTAATGCACTCTGTGATCTGACATAGTTATGGGGGATTGCAACTCTACTTCTAGCTTAGTTGACTGACAGCATAAAACAGATGTATTCCAGTAACTTGAGTAAGAGTAATAACCCATAAAATTCAGTGCTGGTTAACACCTAAAACAAAAGAAAAGAAAGCAGTATGGAGGATTTTCTGAAAGATAAGCACATCATCATTTCCTCTGGATAGTCTAAAATCTGTTCCTGCCAGTCACGCTGTTGCTCTGAGTTGAGGATACCATAAAACAAGTGACTGTGTGGACTATAATAAGAATACAGTAACAATTGTATTTACCCTATTATATTGTGCTGTCTTCTTTTGGAGATCATGGGAGAAATTGGGTTTCTGATTACTACTGTGAAACTAGGAGAGAGGTTGTTGTTATTTGACCTCTAGTCGGACCTAACTTACAGTGACCCCTCCTTGGATTTCCCAGGTGGTATTACTATGGAAGTAGATTGCCCAACCTTCCTTCTGAGAAGGGGCTTGTTGGTTTGAACCACCAGCCTTCTGGTTAGCAGTCAAGTGCCTTAGGCACTGTGTTACCAGAGCTCCCAGGAGAGATAGTGGTTCTTTATAATATAATCCTTACTGGTTGCCACAACAGATTCCTTCACTTTTAAGCATAGTGCCTAAGGCACTTGACTGCGTACCAGAAGGCTGGCGGTTCAAACCCACCAGCCACTCCTCGGAAGGAAGGTTGGGCAATCCTACTTCCGTAGTGATACTGCCTCGGAAACCCAAGGAGGGGTCGCTATGAGTGGGGCTGACTGGACGGCAAACAACAACAACAACAGAACAAAGCCAGCTATCAGATTGTTGAACGATTTTACTGATGTGAGCAAAGAGACTTTGAAATTAAGCACTGTGCTAACGTAAGTTCTTTATTAAGAAGTATTGAAACTCTTCATATGTCACATTGATGCTGACTTAGTAACCCTAAAACTTTTGAATTATAACTGAAAAAAAATTTCACAGATCCAAGATGGAAAAGGGGATGTGACTATTACAAATGATGGTGCCACCATTCTGAAACAAATGCAGGTGTTACATCCAGCAGCCAGAATGGTAAGTGTAATTTTAGGTAAGGTTTTTAAGTGTACTGTTGAATATTTGGTAATGAATTTCCTTATTTGATTATCATTTAAGCCTGGTGAAAATTTCTTTTCTCTGTGCTAAATAGGAATATTTTTAGGATGTGTTTTGTGGCAAGCAATGTGCTCTATAGTGTGTGGTAATAAAAAAAATATGAACCACCTTGTCTCCTGGAATGAACCATACAGTTAAGGGAAGAGGAGTTTTAAACATGAAATACTACTTAGTACAGATTATTGGTTCAGTGGGGTGTTAGCTAGAAGACATCGAAATAACTAGAATTTTTTTTTAACTTTTTAATGTAACTTGGGTGCAAGTTTACAGAGCAAACTGACTTTCCTTTCCATTCAACAATTCATACACGTTTTCTGACTTTGATTGCAGTCCGCACAATGTAACAGCACTCTTCGCACATCCTCCCTGTGTTCGCCATTTCCTTTTGTCCTTCTTTCCTATCACTTCCTGACTTCTGAGCTTTATCCCTGGACAAATACTTCCATCTTGATCTCAAATGGTTGGTTATTCTAATGATACATACCTTCCAAATGTTACCATTCACTTTACATTCACATACCTTTCAAATGTTACGTTCACTATTTGACTGACAGTTGAGGCACAGGGATCAGTTCCATTTCAGACTTCAAGGGTATCTAAGAGTCATATAGTTCCATGGATTCTGCCAGTCTCCATCCAACCAGTAAGTGTGGTCTTTATGATTTTGAGTTTCCCACCATTTTTTCCACTCTGTTCAGGACCTTCTCTTGTGATTCCTTTTAGAGCAGTCCTTGGTGGTAGCTGGGCACTCATATAGTTCTGGTCTCAGGGTCATGGAGGCTGGCGTTCATATGATCCATTAATCCTTTGAACTAACTGTTTCTTTGCATCTTTGATTTTCTTCACTCTTTGCTCCAGATGGGGAGACACCAGTAGTTGCACCATTTCAGGTGCACCATTTGAATTTTGTGCCAGATAAACCATGTGTCTAAACTTGGCAGTGATGTTTCATTTTTTGAAAAAAAATTGCCAGTTCAACTGAGGATTATGAAGATGATTCTGGTATCAAGTGTGAAGTCACCACATCAGCAAAAACAAATACTGTAGAAAGAAATTCCTGTTTTTAAAAGATCCTTTTAATTATGTAAAGATCACTTTCAAAATGAATCACATTATGTTCACACAGAGTGAGTTCAGATACTTGGTAGAGAACTCCAAACTAATACTGTACCCTCATTTGTGATGGCTCATTTTGTAAGCTTCCGAGTCTTTGAGGTGTACCTGTGGTGCAGCAGCATTTGCTTTCTGTGAGGAACTTTCATTTTGAGTAACTGAAAAAATTTATAGTCCACAGTCTGAAATCAGCTATAGTAATACAGCCTCTTACAGAGAAAATACATAAGTAGAATTGTGTATGTCACAAATATAGTGGTCATCATTTTAAAGGAAATCCAAGGTGAACAACAAATCAGAAGTTGAGAATTGGTAATAATCAAATTCTGTTTGTAATGCTGATGTGAGGCCACTGATTTGATGATAAAACTATAGTAGTATTGGATACACACATTTCTCATTGGTGGCTTGGCATGTTCTGTTCACTTAGCTGGTAGAGCTGTCTAAGGCTCAAGATATAGAAGCAGGAGATGGTACCACATCGGTGGTCATCATTGCTGGTTCTCTCCTGGATTCCTGTACTAAGCTTCTTCAGAAAGGTGAGTGGGACGTAAGACATGCTTTATTACTGAATGTAAAGGCAAAAGTTAAAGGTTTAGGAATAGCCAAGTTATTCTCAAGTAGTATGAGATTGAAGATTAATTTACAATAAGTAATCTTTACTGGAAATTTAAATAAAATTTTACTGTATTTATAAGAGTTTTTATTTACCCTTCTGATTTGCTAGGCTTCTGTTTGAAAGGAGACTTCATAGAATTTTGCTTGAACATTTCACTTTTCAAATAAGATACGAGTGGTGGTATTAAACTTAGGCTGTAATTGAGAAAGATGATTTGAGAGAGAAAGAAGAGTTCTCATTTTGGTAAATAGTACTTAATCACCAGAGTGATTCCAGCAATCCCTGCTTTCTACTTATGTACATTTATGATATTTTGAAAAGTATAAAGTTTGAATTTTAAGTCTCATGAGTGTATATTGATCTCTTTTAAATTAAATAGAAATAAATTGGTCTGTATTAGCTATAGTAAGTAATATGGTTATTGAAGCCATTATATTTAAAGCTGAACTATAAATGAGTTTATAGTTAAGAACATTTGTGATTTTTTAAAAAATTGAATGAATAGAAATGTAAGGCATGTCAAAAATGTAGTTTATCTGTTACGATTGGATAACTAGACTTCTGCCTGATAGGGATCCATCCAACCATCATTTCGGAGTCATTCCAGAAGGCTTTGGAAAAGGGTATTGAAATCTTAACTGATATGTCTCGACCTGTTGAACTGAGTGACAGAGAAACTTTGCTAAATAGTGCGACCACTTCATTAAATTCAAAGGTGAGGCAGTTACAAAGGGATCGTTGTCAGAATGCAGATTAAGGTACATTAAGAATGGCAACTCTTATGATGTGAATTCTTGATGTTATATAATATGTAAACACTATTTTTCAAAGTGACTGGATATGTAAAGTAATTTATGTAACTGAATTAGTTTAAGATTATAAAATGGAATGTGTCATAAGGCTAACTAACAAGGTGGTTATGTTGATAAAGATAGGTCATTGCTGTACTTTAAGTTGCCCTATTGGAAACCTTTCTAGGATTGCCATAGAATCTTTGGCAATATAGCTAATTTTATTGAATACTTAATGTGCCAAGCATTGTGTTAAGTTTTTTCCATTATTATCTCTTTTTCAGAGGTTTCAGGTTAGTGATAATATCCCCATTTTTACATATGGGAAAACAGGTAGAGAAGTAATGTATCTTAAGACCCACTAACAAGGAGCGCTGGTAATGTCGTGCCTAAGGCACTTGACTGCTAACCAGAAGGCTGGTGGTTCAAGCCCACCAGCTACTCCTCGGAAGGAAGGTTGGGCAATCTACTTCCGTAGTGATAACGCCTCGGAAACCCAAGGAGGGGTCGCGATGAGTCGGGTCTGACTCAACAGCACATAACAACAACAACAAGAGCTGGAGCTGAGATTTAAACCCAGAACAAAACTGTCCATCTATAGTCCATCGCCTGTGCTGCTTTTCTTAGTTATCAAACTTAAAGCATTAATGTGTTTCTACATTTCTTACAAAAAGTGATGTACTTTTATACTTATGACTCTTCTGAAATTCAATGAGTAGAAATTTAAGACATGTCAAGTATGTAGCTTATCTAAGCAAACCTTTACACATAATCTTATTTGTTATCATTTTAAACATATCCCAAATTGTTTTTTCTCTTCATCTGCAAAGTCAGTGAAGTTCAGTTTCATCTTGTGTCACTTTCTGTTTTCTGTCATGTCTGGCATCACTCCTAATTTTTTTCTTTTTATCAGCATTAAATTTGTACATTAATTTTGTTGGAATGTTAAGTAGGCTGAGGTAGTATTAGTGGCAAAATTAATATAAGCAGCATAGCATAGTAGTTACAAGCACTGGTTGTAGAGTCGAGACTGCTTGAGTTCGTTGCCAACTCTACCACTTAACTTAGAATTTCTTCATCTGAATATTGAATAACTTACATAAAGTGCTAAGATTACAACCCAGCATGTAATAAGTGCTCAATAAGTGTAAACCACCAGCTAGTTACTAGTTCCTTAGTATTAAGAATGCGCATATACCATTGATACCATGGTACATTCATTTTAGGTAGGAACCTCTACATAAGATTCAGTTGGATTTCCTGTAAAATGATTGGTAATCCTAACTACTATATTAATAAAAGATAAAGCAAGTATATATATTTCTGTTTTGCACCTTTAGCAACTTATAACCTGAATGGAAAAGGCAGTATGTATGGAATGTTTTCTTAAGCACCCCACCTTCCAAATGATTGTGATTTCTTCTTGAATATGTGATGCTATAACTTTTTTTTTTTTTTATATTTCTAGGTTGTCTCTCAATATTCAAGTCTGCTTTCTCCAATAAGTGTAAATGCAGTGATGAGAGTGATTGACCCAGCCACAGCTACTAGTGTAGATCTTAGAGATATTAAAATAGTTAAGAAACTTGGGTAAGCATCTCTAATTATAACTTTCATTAATAGAAATTAATTTTGAAAATGAAAAATACACTGGCTGAAAGTCATAAAGGTTTTTTTCTTTGGCTTTGTTTTCATGAGAACCTATATTATTGTGAGAATATCACAATTTCTTTATATTTCCTGAGGATGGCGGGGCAGTAGTGTGATCATCAAAGTTTGGGAATGGGACACTAATAAATGTACATTAGGCAGAAGCACATTTTATTGGACTGGTGCAAGAGTTTGCTATATATGTAGCTTTCCAGACCTTTTTTAATGCCTATATAATTTCATGTTGGGTATAATTTTGGTATATGGTTTATTGGTTTGGGTTGAATTTAAATTCAGATTTCCACTTAATTATCTCTTCTCGTTTTCTGTTTTTCAGTGGGACAATTGATGACTGTGAGTTGGTGGAAGGGTTGGTTCTCACCCAAAAAGTGGCAAATTCTAGCATAAGCAGAGTTGAAAAGGCTAAGATTGGGCTTATTCAGTTTTGCTTATCTGCTCCAAAAACAGATGTAAGTAGAATGCAACTGAAATTGGTTCCCTATGTATGTGTTAAACTTTCTAATAACTCGGATTCTTTTTGGCTTTCTAAGTAGAAACTTTAACCCCTTCCTGTAGTCACATGCATATCTTTTGTTTTAATTTTATACAAATGGAGCTTTAAACCAATTTAATATCCTTAATTCTCGGAAGGAAGGTTGGGCAAGCCTATTTCCGTAGTGATACTGCCTCGGAAACCCAAGGAGGGGTCGCTATGAGTCGGGGCCGACTCGAATGGAGCTTTAAACCAATTTAATATCCTTAATTACAAGATTTTTTAAATTTCAGATATTCCCATATCTATTAGTCATAAGTGCATTTCTCTAAAAGAGATGGTTGTCTGTGTCACCGCACTCAAATTTGCTGTTCTTTCACATGGTACTAGCATACAGGTTTCCTGTTGAGTAGCTTGTTTCCCAGATGTGCACTTTAATGCACACAAAAATCACCAGTTTTATAGGTCTTACATTGGTACCTCCTCTCAACATACTACTTATTATAAACGAGTTGGAGTAAAAAGGATGAACCTTAAATTTCAGTAATACATATATTTGTGTAAAGAAGATTGACATTCAGAAAACAGGATAATCACTTTACTTTTTTGATTACCAAAAATGTACTTGAAAAACAACTGAAAACAGCAATGCGTATTGCTTGAAGTAAAACATCTCCAGTGTTGTTGTTGTTAAGTGCCTTCGAGTCAGACCCGACTCCTAGCAACCCCTCCTTGGGTTTCCCAGGCGATATCACTGTGGAAGTAGATTGCCTGACCTTCCTTCTGAGGACTGGCTGGTGGGTTTGAACCTCCAGACTTCTGGTTAGCAGTCAAGTGCCTTAGGCACTACACTACCAGAGTTTGCTATATATGTAGCTTTCCAGACCTTTTTTAATGCCTATGTAATTTCATGTTGGGTATAATTTTGGTATATGGTTTATTGGTTTGGGTTGAATTTATTCATAGTGTTTTCACTTAAGTCTTCTACACTTGAAAACTCTGACAATGCAAATGTTTAATTTTTTTTTAAACAGATGGATAATCAAATAGTAGTTTCTGACTATGCCCAGATGGACCGAGTGCTGCGAGAAGAGAGAGCTTATATTCTAAATTTAGTGAAGCAAATCAAAAAAACAGGATGTAATGTCCTTCTTATACAGAAATCTATTCTAAGGTGTGGGACTTCAGAATTTTGTTCATCCGTTAATTGATTTTGGAACCCTTCTAGCAATTTTATTTAGGATATGTTTGAGATAGATAATCCATGAGAAATGTAGAAATGAATCTGCACTGGGGCATCATTGTGTTCTGATAAACCCTCAATATAAAGTGTGTTCTGTTTTCTGATTAGATAAATAAACTTTCTAGTCTAAAGCCCTAAGTATCAAGCAGATGAATGCCTTATATATATTTTTAACATTATGGTTTGTATAAGTTTACAGAGCAAATTAATTTCCCATTCAACAATTTATACACATTTTGCTTCATAACATTAGTTGCAATCCTCTCAGTGGCCCTTTCTGTGTGTAAACCTTTTCTTGACTTTCTGAAAATAGTAGTCTTATATAATATTTGTCCTTTCTGTGATTATTTCACTCAGTATGTCCTCCAGATTCATCCATCCATGTTCTACAGTGTTTTGCAAGTTCATCTTCATTTTTTAACATTGCATAGTCATCTGTTGTGCACTGTGGTGTGTTTTGGTGTCTTTCTCATGGCTGAAGATCGTGAGCATCTCTTCATGTGTTTGTTGGTGGTCTTGAATATCTTTGAAGTGTCTGTTCATGTCCTTGGCTCTTTTTTTTAATTGTGATTTGGGTGAAGATTTACAGAGCAAATTCACTTTCTATACAGCAGTTAACATATGCTTTGTCTCATGTCAATGACCACAGTTTACCACAGTGCAACAGCTCCCCTCCCATAGTTACCTCTTCCCAGTGTCCATCCCTCCATACTCTCCTGCCCCCTGAGCTGTCTCCCTGTGCATAAGCAGCCCTTCTCCCACGATTTTTCTCTACAGGGCGTGTGTCTACTTGAGGTAAATGTTTAACTCACTTGCCTGTACTTTGTTTGGCTAGAAACCACAGGTGTGGGTTCAATTCCAGACCTGAAGGGCAGCTAGGGGCCATAGTCTCAGTGGTTCCACCAGGCTCTATTGGACCAGCAAACCTGGTCCCCACCTTCTTTTTTTCCCCCTCCAAATGATTTTGAGTTTTGTTCCACATTGTTCTCCCTCTCTATCCAGGATCTCCTATATCCCTTCCAAGTGGATGACAGTGGTAGCCAGGCACCATCTAGTTTGTCTGGTCTCATAGTTGTATAGGTTCTTTGCTCATTTTTTAATTGGATTGTTTATCTTTTTGTTGGAGTGCTGAGATTTTCTATAAATTTTAGCAATTTGTCTCTTGTCAGATGTCATTGCAGAATTTTTTTTCCCAGTCTGCAGATTCTTTTTATACTCTTTTGGAGAAATCTTTTGATGCGCCTAAGTGTTTAATTTTTAGGAAGTTGCCAAGTTTTTAAAATGTTAAGTGTGTTTGAGCTAAAATTGATAAGCTAGCTAAAAATTAGTATTTAGTTTTTTAATTTAGAACTTCATTTAGGTAGTTTTTTAATTTAGAACTTCATTTAGGTAGAATTGGAAGAATTCTCCAAAGTTGAATTGGTTTTTTTTTTCCGCCTTCAATATATTTTCTTATAATAGGTAGACCCATTTAGTCCATTAATGTCAGAAAGTTATTGTGGATGTTCCTTTTATATAGAGCCTTTGAAGAGTTAAAAGGCTTGGTTCTAGTCTCCAAGTCATGTAATAGCTAATAACCTTGAGTAAATTGTTCTCAAAGCTCAGTTTGCTTATCTGTAAAATAGAGATAATAACTATCTATCCTTCCACTTTTATAGGCTCATTCCGTATATCTATAGGAAAGTACAAATTTTTATGGAGTCAGAATTAATCCTGCAATATTCATGAATTAGCAATAAAGTTCCATTGTGCTCATAGAAAAATTTTTAAATGGTGATAATTATCTTCTTAATGTTCTGCAAACAAAGACTTTCAGAAGTACCTTGTTTTGTTAATACCTGTTGTAAACATTAAGTTTGAGCTAAAAAAAAAAAAAAAATTGGCAGCCTAATACCATAAAGCATTTTCCTTCACAAATTATGTAAGTGGCCACTTACCAGTAAAATAATTGAAACTTAAAATCACTTGAACAGCAAGAAATTTTTAGACTAGCATTGACATAATCATTTTCTATTTTAGAGATGCTCTTAGTGATCTTGCGTTACATTTCCTGAACAAAATGAAGATTATGGTGGTTAAAGATATTGAAAGAGAAGACATTGAATTCATTTGTAAGGTAATGAACCTTAGCATTTGTATTTGTGAAAATATTCACTAATTAAATGTCTTGATTTGTGGACTTGACTATATTTTCCAGACAATTGGAACCAAGCCAGTTGCTCATATTGACCAATTCACTGCTGATATGCTAGGTTCCGCTGAGCTAGCTGAGGAGGTAAATTTAGATGGATCTGGCAAACTGCTCAAGGTAACTATTATAATTAAACTTTTATTTGCATAGGCTTTTTTTTTTTTTAACCCTTACTTTAAATACCTAATTTGGAATTTATTTGCTAAAGATTACAGGCTGTGCAAGCCCTGGAAAAACAGTTACAATTGTTGTCCGTGGTTCTAACAAATTGGTGATTGAAGAAGCTGAACGCTCCATTCATGATGCCCTGTGTGTTATTCGCTGTTTAGTAAAGAAGAGGTAATTAAATTACGCACTACATTGGAAAATTAAAATTTCTGTATTTTTTAACATTTTGCACAAGGATTTCTATAGAAAATCCTGACCAAAATGGGCAGAGGCAGGAAATGTGGAATAGAATTTGAGACTTTCATAGAATATAGCTCTCCGGAGCCATTGAGGCTGGATGACCTCTCAAGATTATTGTCCTGAAATCTTAAACCTAAACTATCACCTCAAGTCATCTCTAGTCATCTCTGCACTAAATTGTTTTGCATAATTGGTAAATGCTGTCTGCCTTGAGCATTGTGATTTTTTATAGAATTATCTATATGGGATCAAATTGACAGCACCTCCCTCAGAAGGTTGCGTGACAAGGTTTCAGGGCAGTGAGTTTGTTTTAATGATAATAAAAATAATTGGAAAAGGATAGCAAGAATAGTTGCACAGCTTGAATGTAGTCAGGGTAACAATTGTACATGTAGAAATTACTGAATTGGTGTATGTTTTGTTTGCTGTTCATGTTTTCACAAAGAAACATTTTTTAAATGTATCTTTCTGTTGGCTAAAATATATATTTGTACATTTCAGAGCTCTTATTGCAGGTGGTGGTGCTCCAGAAATAGAATTGGCCCTACGGTTAACAGAATATTCACGTACTTTGAGTGGTATGGAGTCCTACTGCGTTCGTGCTTTTGCAGATGCTATGGAAGTCATTCCTTCCACACTAGCTGAAAACGCAGGCCTGAATCCCATTTCTACAGTAACAGAGTTAAGAAACCGGCATGCTCAAGGAGAAAAAACTACGGGCATTAATGTCCGAAAGGTAATAATTTAATCTTTAATTATTGTTGTAAATGGTATCAATAAATATAAGAATATTAAAACCTTAATAATCATGTATTGAATAAAAAATTGTGTAATTAAACTTGGAATAATCTTGGATTTAAATGAGTCCTGCAGATTAATGTATACCATGAAGTGAGAATGAGAAAATGGACAAAGGATATTATTTGTTCATTAACTCTGCCATTTATTGGCTGTGTGACTTTTAATGAGGTATTTAATAAATCTGTGCTTTTAATTTCTTCATTTGGGAAAATGAGGGTAGTTAATATTTACCTCATTAGGGCTATTGTGAGGATTAAATTTACTAATTAGAAAACTCTTAGAACAGTGCTTGGCATATAGTAAATGCTATGTATTTATAAAGACCATTTTTGCCTTTCTGGCATTAGCTAGTATAGTTGTGTGGGTTTATACAGTAGACAATATAATCCTTTTTTTAAATTAATAATTTGAAGAGATAAATAATACATGGTAAGAAAAACAAAATGGTAGGCTTAAGATCCTATTTTTTGAATGGTACAGAACTGCAAAGGAGGACATTATTTGGTCAGGGTAAGCTTTATGAAGATAGAACTTTGGCTTGTAAGGATGAGGACATTTCAAATGGGAAGCAGTAGTTTATAGGTGAGGGGAACTAAGATTACTCAGCTTGTCTAGAGCACAGGTAATATGTCAGTGATAACTAGTGGACTTCAAGGTAAAAAGTAGAACATGGACACCTTTGAGTGTCCCCACCTGCCCACATAGTTGGGAGCCACTAAAGATTCTCAAGTAAGAAGCTAAGGTGATGAAAAGAATATTTTAAGGAGGAAGCCTGGAGGGAGGGGTTTCTGTTTATAGATACCGGCAGTAATCCTGGAATAAAGGGGACTAAGATAGTGGCAATAAAGATGCAAAGGTGGGAAATATGAAAGATAAGAGTAGACCAGACTTGGTCAAGTTCAGAATTAGGATTCTGAAATGATTTAATCATAAAGATCTTGTAACTATTAACTACTGTGATCAATAATCTAACTGTGTTTTAGAACAAGAATTGGAAGGATCCAGCATTAGTTTTTCCCAGATGTTAGTTGAAATACAACCTATAAATGTAGGTGTTCTGGTTACCTAGTGCTCCTCTGACAGGAATATATACCACAAATGGGATGGCTTTTTATTCTTAAAATTTGAAGGCTTTAAGTCCCGAGTTCAAAGTGCCAGGCTCTAGAGGCTGGGTGAAAGTCCATTAACCTTGGGGTTCAGCTCTGCCTCCTGTTCTCGGCCCATTGGAGCTAGAGGCTTTTCTTCACTCAGACAGCTGTTGGCTGCTGAGACTGAAAATGCAAGGTTGACAAGTAAAAAGCACAGTCCTGATATTACCAAACCTCACGGCAGGCCATTAATTTAAGTCCATTGTAAGTCCCAAGGTCAGCAGAGCATGGCAGGCTGCTGAACAACAACATGCAAGGTCCAAGCATGCCATAAGCTAGACACTATTCCCAAAACTACTACTAATATCCGGGAAGCTGACCACTTACCCAAAGGCAGCTACTCAGCTGCTCACAGTAGATTCCACTATGGAGTTGATTACCAGTCTCACCATGGGGAATACTACATCCAGCGACCCAGCCATTCAACCAGGCCTAGCCAAGTTGACGTACATCTCTTAACTACAACAGTAGGGAAGAGCTTAGTAGAATATATCATTATAAAGCAACTAGACTAAGGGAAAATTAGATTTGAAAAGGTCTTAAAAGGAAATACAAACACACTAAAAGAAAAGTATGTGATTTTTCAGGGTGGAATTTCCAACATTTTGGAGGAGCTGGTTGTCCAGCCTCTGTTGGTTTCGGTCAGTGCTCTGACCCTGGCAACCGAAACTGTCCGGAGCATTCTGAAGATTGATGATGTGGTAAGTATATAAGTTTATTTTTTTAATGCTCTTCTGTTCTCTAATTGAGGTAATAACAATTCATACTTAGAACATGTAAAATGGAAATGTGGAAAATTGCCTTAAATATCTTTATAGGTTTTGAAACAAGTTTTTCTCTTCCCAGGTAAACACTCGATAATCTAGATAATACTGGGAGACTAACACTGTTATGGCCACTGATACGGCAGCTGGAGCGGAAGGTCATCCATCACCGTGGTATTGTTGTTTGGAAGATTGTTTCCTCTTTGAATTCCTGGGTATGGGCCTCCAGTTGGTATTTGCTTGACATTGTATTGACACAGTTTAATGAAAATATTAAATATTTGGTTTCAAAAATCAAATTATTAGATCTTCTCCAGTATTCTGTTATTTCTGATACTCTTAGAAAATAAGAACTACCCCCAAAAACAAGAAAATATGAGTTTGCTTTTACATGTTGACTTTCTTAGAGATTAATCTTGAATACTTTCCTCATTTTGTAGTCTACATAGGTGTTTATTCCATTGATGTTGAGGTTTTTAAAACAGACATATTCAGAAGAAAAAAATGACCCATTATGCTCTTTACCTGGATAAATCCCCACTGACATCAAAGTATCAAAGTAATATATCTGTTGTTTGAATACAGAAAAGTACAAAGTAAAACAAAAAACGGAAGCCTCTTCAGGCTATCAACCTTGTTGCTTTTCCCATGAATTTAATTGAAATGCTTTAAACAAAGTGTGTATAGTTACGTAACAAATTTATTTATTTATTTATTTATTTATATTAGGATTTGGGTGAAGATTTACAGAGTAAATTCACTTTTCATACAGCAGTTCACATATACTTTGTCTCATGACATTGACCAAAATTTACAATGCAGCAGCTCCCCTCCCACTTCCTCCCCATAGTTACCTCCTCCCAGTGTCCATCCCTCCATACTCTTCTGCACCCTGAGCTATCTCCCTGTGCATAAGCAGCCCTTCCTTCTCCCATGATTGTTCTCTCCAGGGCGTATGTCTACTTGGGGTAAATGTTTAACTCACTTGCCTGTTCTTTGTTTGGCTGGAAACCACAGGTGTGGGTTCAATCCCAGACCTGAAGGGCAGCTAGGGGCCATAGTCTCAGTGGTTTCACCAGGCTCTATTGGACCAGCAAACCTGGTCCCCACCTTCTTTTTTTTTTTTTTTTGCCTCCAAATGATTTTGAGTTTTGTACCACATTGTTCTCCCTCTTTATGCAGGATCTCCTACATCCCTTCCAAGTGGATGGCAGTGGTAGCTGGGCACCATCTAGTTCTTCTGGTCTCATAGTTGTATAGGTTGCAGATCGGATGGTGTACCAGTCGCTAGGACTGGTTGTTTCCATTAATTTTGGTTTTCTTCTTTCTTCTTGACGAGGAGAGACCTGTTGTTGCATCTAGATGGCAGCTTCCTAGCTTTTAAGGTCCCAGTCGCTACTCGCCAAAGTAGTAGGTGGAACAATGTTTTGTATAGTATGTTATGCCAATTGAGCTTGATGTCCCCTGCGACTATGTTCCCAAGCCCGCAGGATCAACTACTCGGTCCCTCTGGGTAGCTGGCTGTGACCAAGTAATGACCATAACCTTGCCCCTTGTCAGCTCTACTATACTATGTAACAAATTTTATTTATACACAAATAGTTACATATGTATTCAGAGATGTAACAAATCTTAATTTACACATAAGGGATTATTAACTAACACATCTTACTCCAGTAGTTTTAAACATCTTTATTGCCACTGCCCTTGTGCAAGCACTGCTTTTACCATGAACAGTGTAAAATCTTAACTGTTCTCTCCCCTCACTTTGTTATTAGCTTCCAGCAAGTCAACCCTGATTTGTAGTGGCCCAGCGGAGATTGGAGTGATGTGCTCCGTAGGGTTTATATTAGCTGATTTTTTTTCAGAAGTAGATTGCCAGGCCTATCTTCCTAGTTTGTCTTTGACAGGAAGTGTCACTGAAACCTGTTCAACATCATAGCATGCAAGCCACCACAGATAGATGGTAGCTTCACTTGAGTTGCACTGGCCAGGAATGAACCTAGGTATCCTGCATAGAAGGCAAGGATTCTACCACTGAACAACCACCATGCCATACCCTCACTGTAGCCACTTTCTAATCACCATTCTTGGGTTTCCGATGTGGTATCGCTACAGAAGTAGATTGCCCAGTCTTCTGAGGAATGGCTGGTGGGTTTGAACCACCAGCCTTCTGGTTAACAAATATCTTAGGCGCTATGCCACCAGAGCTCCCTGAACAGTGTTAGTGATCTTTTTAAAACTTGTCATGCATTACCCTTTCTAAAAGCTTTCTTGGTTCTGACAAAAGTAAACCAAAAATTTGGCCTAAGCATCCTTTCTCCCACCCTTTCCTCTTCGGAATTCATGAGGAGTGTGATGAGAACAGTTGGGCCCTCTTCACTCAGCATTTTTGGAGAAAGAATTTTCTGACCAATCTAAAGCATCTTTTGTGTTTATGACAGAATTCAAGGTACTGTTTTCAGGTGCTGTCAAGTTGGGTGTGACTCATAACAACCTGTGTACAACAGAACAAAACACTGGCCTGTCCTACTCCATCCTCATAGACGTTGCTATACTTGAACCCATCATTGCAGCCACTGTGTCAATCCATCTCATTAAGGGCCTGCCCCTTTTTTGCTGACCCTTCACTTTACCAAGCATGATATCCTTCTCTAGGGAATGGTCCCTTCTGACAACATGACCAAAGTAGGTGAGACCAAGTAGTCATTCTTGCCTCTAAGGAACATTTTGGCTGCACTTCTAGGACAGATTTGTTTGTTCTTTTGGCAGTCCATCAGGACTGTCAGTATTCTTTATAAACAGCGCAACCCAAAAGCATCAACTCTTCAGTCTTCCCTATTCATTGTCCAGCTTTCACATGCATGTGAGGCGATTTGAAAGCACCATGGCTTGGGCTAGGCACATGTTCGTCTTCAAAGAGACATCTTTGCTCTTCAACACTTTAAAGAGAGATTTTGAATCAGATTTGCCTAGTGCAGTATGTCGTCTCATTTCTTGACTGCTGCTGCCATTGGATTGATTGTGGAGCCAAGTAATAAGTCTTTTTTCAACGTCAGGGTAGTCAACCATTTATCATGATATTGCTTAGGTACTGTAGGTTTGATAAATGAGAAATCTAATTCCTTTAGCTAGGGATTTATGGAATAATTACTCCCTATTGGATTATTAAGAGCTTTTTCTAAACTCCTTTCCTAGCTGCCATAAAAATAGTTGAATTAAACCTTAAGTGAAAATACTTTAAATTATATTGGAATTTTGATTATAACAAAATTCTCAGAGGGAACTCTTCCAAGACAAAAATGATTCTTAATCATTAGCTTTTAAATTTGCTTTGGTAAAAACTAAGCACCTGTTTAGAATTTGACTTGGGTTTTATAACAGCCTATAAAATAATCTAAGCCAACTCTATTTTAGGGAATAGGAAAAGGAATGAGAAAGCTGTAAAAAAAGTTTGATACTGTTTCAGTTGTATACTTTTGTGTTGGATTGGGTTCTCTAGAGAAACACAAAAACCAGCAAAGTGTATATATATATTTATAGAGAGAGAGAGATTTATCTTAGGTAAATGGCTCACAAGCGTGTAGAAGCCGACAAGTTCAAGCTGAAAAGTTCGTCTCTGGAGGGG